TAAGAAGATTTAAAGGAATTACACAGGTATACTCTCAATTACCTAGCGAATCTATGCCTAATTAAACCAACCTCTATGTGCCTCTTCCAACCCGTCTTCACCTCAGAATTGTCTTTACGAAGAGCCACCCCGGAATCCACCAAAGCTTCAGACTCGAATTCTTCAGAATCCACCGAAGAACAACTCTCTCTTTTGTAGAACAAACAAAACCTTTGATGTATACTCTTTAAAACATGAGTTGAATACTCAATCAAAACATCAAAGAAAACTCACAAAGTATCCCCAGATATAAACCCTAGAACCCAAAAAGAAGATCTGGAGTAGTAATCCTAAAATCTGACCCAACACGCGAATTTATAGAATCTGTCCCGCGATCTCCGCTCGAGCGCCCAACAGCCCGCTCGAGCGTCCAACAGCCCGCTTAAGCGTCTTTAGCAAAATATGCGTGTGACAAAACAGAGGTCCGCTCGAGCGCTAGAGAACCCGCTCGAGCGCGAAATCACACATCTCAGTACTTTTACAAGCGACCAAAACTGCTGGAACCAGGGATTCTCTGCTCGAGCGTAGGAGAATCCGCTCGAGCGTAAAATCACACCCACCAGTATTTTTTGCTAGCCCTGACAAAATACTGAGACCTGCTAATCTACGCTCGAGCTCGCAAGGCTTCGCTCGAGCGGACAGAATAAAAACACAAAAAATTATAATTGAATCAACACAATGTTTTGTCTCCGGATTTGACAACATAGGTAGTACCTTCTCTGAAACGCACAATTCGGGTTGGATTCGCATCTAAGCACTCATAGCCTCACTGAAATAAAAGTGCGAAAATAAATACAACTGAAAGGAGTTTTGTCAACCGGGGTTGCCAAGAATAAAACCTAATACCCTTGTTTAGTCTTGGGACATTGATAGTTGATATTTTTATTTTTAATCATGAAGAATTCTTGTGAGTATCATTAATTCCTATTTTTATTTATTTATTTATTCACTACAAAGATGTATTCATGTATTCCTTGATGAAGAAATTGTTCAACAATGTTATAATGGCTATTGCAACAACATATTATGGCCTTTTTTTCGTTATCTTGGACTTCGGCAAGAAGATCGTCTCGCCACTACCAGAAGTTTTCAGTCTCAATTCGCTGCATATGTGAAAACAAATGTAATGTTTGCTGTTGTGGTAAACCAGTATTACTAGGAGGGTGATGTTTGGTGCCATGACTACCATCTCATGTTCCTTCCAAAATTCCTGAAGGAGCACAACAGTGATATGAAAGTTGGTTGGTTTCTCCACACACCCTTTCCTTCTTCAGAAATCCACAGGACACTGCCATCTCGATCAAAGCTACTGCATGTTGTTCTTGCTGCTAACTTGGTTGGGTAAGTTGTAATATTTAATCCCGTACCATGCATGCCATGTTTGCCTCACTTTACTGGTCAATTCCTTTAAACTTGCAATATTGATACTGATCAATTGGCATGTTTTTCAAACTTTTAAACTTAAAACCTATGTACTACTCAATCATATGATCACATTTCTTGTTTAAACTGTCAATCACATTTCTTGTTTAGGTTGTTCTGTTTTGTTACAACATATGGACTTTGTTATCAAATTCAGCTATAGATATAGTTAGTTCCTTGATAAGTTTCTGCAATGTATAAATGATGTAGAATTTGTGTGTAGTCATCTATTTGTATAATTAAATTTGCATTGTATGTCTCTTAGGTATAATGACACATTAATTTCAATACTTTATCTGAGATTATTTTGATCGATTTCTGTTTTAAGAAATAAAGCATTTTTTTTCCATCTATATTTATTCTCCCATGATTCTGTTACAGAACTTACTATCTTTGCTACTTTTTTTGTATTTGTGGTCAATAATTGCCTCTGCCTAGTTGTTTCTTGCCTGTATTTTTGAATAATGATAGGTAGCATGTCCAGTGAATGTGTAAAATATGTTGTCTATCATTGTTTGTTTGTCTTGATGATGGCCAAGATATTTTTAACTTCTATACTTGGCTAGAGTGTGATTGGAAGGAGATGTGGAGGCATATTATGATAGTGACATTAGTTCATTGAATGTGAGCATGCCCAATCACTGACTCTGCCATTATTTGAACCATTTATCAATTTGAGCCAGTTAAGCTCCAGGGCCCAATATGAGAATCTACGTTCATTTTGTTTTCTGTAGTTCCCTGCTATTCAAATGTTGAGAGGAGACATGGAGCCTCACCCTCAGTCATCGTCGTAGGTGGTGATTTTGTCGGTATGGCAGCTGCTCAGGCCCTTCATGATGCTTCATTTCATTTCACTTCCCTTTCAAATTCTAATGGTATTTTTTGCAGGCCATTGATTTAGGTGAACCATACCATGCACTTCATTTACAATAACATGTTGTCTATTTGACCACAATAATTTCCAGAGTATAATATGTCATAATTATTAAATTGATAATTGTTATAATTTGAAATGTCAATTTTATTGAATAAGTGCTAATGGTTTTTTTTTTTTTTAACAGATTGCTTTTGCGTGGGCTATTGTGGATATTTATTTTTGTTTATGAAGAGCATTTGTTCTGTATATGGAAGACATTTATTTTTGTACAATTCTCTGTTTTGGAAATCCATTGTTTTTGTATGTAATATTTAATTTAGATGGATGATATTTGGTTGGTGTAGATTTAAATGATATTTGGAATATGATGTTACAAGTTAAAGTTTTTGGATAGTTGATAATGAAATGAATAATATTAGTGATAATGGATTTAGTTGATAATTGATAGATGTATTATTCTGTATATTTGCAGGTTACAGGTTGCCTTGATAATGGACTGCATATAATTTAGAAATTAATGAAAAATATTCAATTTATGCATTTTTAAAAAATTAATAAGTAGAGCTTTTGGCGACTGAACATTTAGTAGCCAAAAAATTTTAAAAAAAAGAACTTGTTGGTTACTAAATAGTTTGTAGCCAAAAAAAATAAAAAATTTTGGCGACTAAAAAATTAGTAGCCAAAAAGGAGTAACCATGATTTTAGAGACCAAAAAATTGGTAGTTGAAAAGGAGTCACGTTTTTAGCAACTAAAGATTTTAGTCGCTAAAACAAAAAAAAACACATTTATTGAAAACTTTGGGCGACTAAATTTTTAGTCGCTAATCACTAACTTTCGGCAACTAAAAAAAATTAGTCGCCAATACCTTTCCTTTTGGCGACTAATTGTTTAGTCGCCAATTTAGGACTTTCAACGACTAAATATTTTTTAGTCACCAATACCTTCCTCGACAATCTTTACGCGACCAAGACGGCGACCAAACTATTTAGTCGGGAAAACTTTTCGGCGACTAAAAATCTGACTTTTGGCAACTAAAAATTTAGTCGCCAAAAGTATAATTTCTTGTAGTACAACTTGTGCGCTTAAGAGCGACTAGACTAAGGTCTGTATGGTGTATGAGTTTAACATCACTCTTTGGAAGAGTTACTCCACGATAGCATGCATTTGTATTGCATGTACTTATCGACCTGATAGCGAGATGAGAGAATGGATGCATGCTTCCTCACCGTGTGAGTCCTAAAAGTCATTTTTTCCAATGACTTCACTTTGTGTCTTTTGTGACCTTTTGACTATGTCATAAGATGAAGAGTTAATGTTCAGCTACTTTGGTATGTTGCCTACAGTCATGTATGATTCAGTTTTAAGGGATATTACTGGGAAAGCGGTCAATTCCAAGTTAAATGATATGAGGGTGAATGGAAGATCATCTAGTTCTACATCTTTGCTATATATTCACTGTCGACAACTCACATCGCTCTATATGGGATGCTAATTGAGTGTGAATATAATGCGGGACCTAGGAGGGTCAAACATGCTCTTTAAGGGATTAGAGATGTTTTGGATTGATGTAACTAGATGGGTCTGGGTACATGAGACACTATTTCTATTTTTTTTTTGAGTTGATATCTCTATGCTGGCTCATTTGGAGTTTCTAGTATAGAGCTCCCACATGAAGGTGTTCTTAGCGGTCGCATAGTTCATTGGCTAGTATGAGATTGTTCAATATTTGGGGAGATTGAGATAGAGATGTGACAGTGTCATGCCAACTCATGTGCGAGTAGGAGATGTTGGAAATTGGGTCGGGTATTGGACCCGAATTTGGGTGCCCATGTGGCATGACCCATGACCCATTCAAATTACCAATGTAATTTGAATTTGAATTTTCATGACTATCTTATTTGGATAACCCACTAGCACTATCTATATGTATCATATCTTATCAAGAGATATGGATAGATGGCTAGAATCTAGCCTATAAATCAGATACGATATATGGGATGTGGGATGAATTGAATAAGGAATTAATTCTTCCATGCTCTCTCTCTAACTCTCTCCTATTAGAAAATGATCAAGCCTTTGCACTGTGACTAGAGTGGATGATACTCATATTGTGGTATCACTCCATTGCTGGGTGTTCCTAGTTCGTGGTTGTTAAGCACGTGATTTACCCACAAGGTTCTTCGTTTCAGATTCTATCACATAAGGTATGGTTTGAATCTTTTTATCCGCCGCATTATCTGTATCTTACAAGAAGCTTGAATTCAATCCAGCTCCTTAGCTACACCTTTAGGTATTTTGAACATGGATAAATAATACACACGAAGGTTAGATACAACAGATTTGATCATTGTTAGCCTGCCACCAAAAGACAAATGCCTCATTTTCCAACTGGCAAGCTTTAGTTTGAACTTTCTGATTGTAGGGGCACAAGTAGACTTAAGTCTACGACTGGCACCAAGTGATGATCTCAATAATGTAATTGGAATCACACTTTTAGCGCAATTAAGTGTAGCAACAAAATGATCAAGTAGGTCATCTTCCACACCTACACCAATTACCACGCTTTTACTATAGTTGAACTTGAGATCAGATGCTACTTCAAAACATCTTAACAACCTCATTCCAGTTGGCCTCACAAAACATAATGGTATCATCCGCAAACTATAGATGGGATACTTTCACCAAATCCTTCCCAATCTCAACCCCTTTAAGAAATCCCAATTTCGTAGCCCTCATTGTAAGCATGTTGAGACCTTCCACAACCAAATTAAACAAAAAAATGGGAGAGGGGATCAATCCTTTTTCAGATTTAAATTCAGTTGTGGGGCTTCCATTGACTAACATTGAAATTCTAGCTGTGGTAACACAACTTTTAATCCAACTCCTCCATTTTTGGCCAAAACCAAAACTCTCCATTATACTAAGCAGAAAGTTCTAATTCACAAAGTCATAAGATTTTTCAAAATCATGCTTTATGACCACTTCTTCCTTCTATTTTTATCTCCACCAATCTAACACTTCATTGAACAGCCTTGATATATTCCTTTTTGTAAATTCAGCAACAACAATGCCACCAAGTGCTCTTAGACCACAAGAAAAGGACAAATATATAAATATAGCACACTCTGGTTTTCTTAAAACAATGAAGAGAAAGAAAATTGACGAATGCCTGAATGCTTACAATTGATTACAATATATAGAAATAAAAGCAGAACAGTGAGCATGTGACTTCTGAAAGCAGCTGGCAGATCATGAAGTAAAGGAGATGCTGTCGGATGCTTTCGGTGGAGTGATTGCACAGCTGAACAGCCTTTAGCAAAAGTTGATTGGGTGAATAGTGACGGTGAACAGTAAAAGTGAACAGTAACTTTTACTATTCATTACTTTCGGTGAAATATGTAAATAAAGGAATCATTATAAATATAAATTAGCAACTTTTCTCAAAAGAGTATTGATTGAAGCTAATTTGTATTTATAGGGAATCCTATGTTGATTAGGCAAACAGATCCTGAGCATCTTGAAATTCGGGTCCTGAGTATTGATTAGTTGATTCTTCAGAAGAGTGTGCACTGTCTGAACCTTCTTCTGAATGGGCTGAACTGGAAGCAGATTGGGCTTCAGCTTGATCTGTAATTTGGCGAGCTAACTGGAGCAGTTCGTCTCTGGATAACTTGGGTTTGACCTTTGATTTAGTTGTGGGCTGAGCAGGAGGAAGAATGGACTTAGCCTTGGCTTTGATTTGCGATTTGGGCCGTGAATGGTCTTTGGGCTGGGCCGGAGCTGCAGGAGCTTTGGACTTAGCCTTGGATTTTGATTGTGTCAATTGGGATGTTTTGGATTTGGGTTTGGAACCACTAGATGAGGGGCTTCCAAGATTGATTGGAGGAAGACTGGGCTGACTTCCTTGACTGATTGCAGCAGTTGGGATCTGCTGTGCTTTAACCATTGCAGGAGTTAGAGCACATTGATCAGATGGGAATTCTTCTTGAACAATTTCAAATATACAGGGCAAATTGAATTTAGCCCACCACTTGACTGAATGATGTCGGATGATTATATTACCATCAATCCCATAATGCCATTTGAATATCCAAGGGATTTTATACTTGGCTATAAAAATTAACAATAATGGGAATGATCTCTGCTGAGTAGTGAATGGGTAAACAGTAGCAAAATAGTTGATTAATTCAAGCAAATTATCAGGGAGGATCTCTGAAATGGCACCATAGTGAGTCCACCATCTCAAAAACTAGGAAGGTAATTCAGACTTGAATTTTTGATCAAATGAAATGAACCAAGAGTGACTAAAAGTCTCATTCTGGTACAAGAAAATCTTGAACCAAGCATCAATGTAATCATGGTGATTGTACTGGATAGAATGGCCAGGTAAATCACGAAGCTGGTAGGGAGGACCCCATTCAGCTAAGGAAACAATATTGTGAATGTAAATGGAATGGTACAGAATCTTGTAAGCATAGGTGCGATCTTGGATTGGCTTAATCAAAATTGATTGGTGATGGAGTAGAATATCTTTGTAGTAGGAAAGTGTTTTTTCTGGATGTGAAAGGGTGAAATGGCATCCAGGACCAAAATAGGATTTAGCAATGTCAGTAAGGAGTTGGCTCTTTGGGTGACTGGGTTCTTTATAGAATAAGTTAGTAATATGTGATTTGGTGTATTCAGTTTTGGATGACCGGACTGGGTTAGCTGGGAATGGAGTGACTGAAACTGATTGACTAGGAGCAAAAGGATCAGAAGCCAAAGTCGAAGAGTAATCAGGGCGATAAAGGTTACCAAGAGCTTGGTAACAGTTAACTATATTAAGTGAATAAGATAGGGTATCTAACTCCAAAGGAGAAGGGACAATAAGTTGATTTGGTTTACTTGAAGATGGGACCAAAGCCTTGGAAGGAGGCCTTGGGCGAGACATCTGTGAAAACAAGAATTAATGATTAGCAGCCAGAAAGAAGATCTAAATAATGTTGATGGCGATGTAAACAGTTGTAGTTGTGAGCAAGTAAATTGCGACGGGCTTGAAGTTGATGGTAATTGATATATTGGGCTCATTTGGTAGTTGGTCGGGCTAATTTGAGGTGGTGAATACGATGGGTAAGCTGTTTAATCTGGGTTTTGAAATAGGTAATGCGGGATTTGTGGTAAGAAGTAAATGGGGCAGTCATCCCTTACCCCCCTGTAAAAATTCCCGGGTAAGAAAATCAGGAAGGGAATTTTGACAACCAGGTATATAGGTAATATCAAAATCAAAAATACTTAAAATAGCTTGCCATCGGGCAAAAATTTGTTTACTAGCAAGATTTTGAACATCTTTTTCAATAACATATTTAGCAGATTTGCAATCAACACGAAGTAAAATTTTTTGATTTAAAATATCATCCTGAAATTTTTGAATACATAAAACAGTGGATAAAATTTCTTTTTTAATAGTACTGTAATTTAATTGTGCTTTATTCCAGACACCAGAATGATAGCGAACAATCTGTTCAGAGGACTGAGGAGTAACTTTCTGAAGAAGAATGCCACCATAACCAATATCGGAGGCATCAATTTGAATAATTTTGAACGAATTTTCAGTAGGAATACCAAGACAAGGAAGAGACTTGACATATTGTTTGACTTGTTTAACGATAGATGTATGAACAGAAGACCAAGGAGGAGGATTATCCTTTAACCTATCAAATAGAGGTTGACAAGTTCTCCTAAGATCTTTGTAGAATTCAGCAATGTAATTGAGAGATCCTAAGAACCTTTGTAATTGGGTTTTATCTAGAATTTCATCAGGAAATTTGGATGCAAATTCAATAGATCGACTAATGGGTAAAATAGTATTATGATGAATATCATAACCTAAAAATCTTACTTTGGTTTGAAATAATTTAATTTTAGGAGCAGAAATGACAAGACCATGACTCTTGATAGTATGAAAGAATGCAGTTAAATGTTTCCAGTGTTCACTAATTGATTTGGAAAAAATTAATATGTCGTCAATGTAAACAATTGAAAAATGACTAAATGGATTGAAGATGTCATTCATTATGTGTTGAAATTCACTAGGAGCATTTTTTAAACCAAATGGCATGACATTCCATTCATACTGGCCAAAGGGTGTATTAAATGCAGTTTTATATCTATCTTTCGGATGAATTTGAATTTGCCAAAAACCACTTTTTAAATCGAATTTACTGAAAATAACAGCTTGACTGAGTCGTTTAATTAAATCTTTTTTATTAGGAATAGGATACCTAATCCATTCTAGAACATCATTTAAAGGTTTATAATTGATAACCAAACGAGGGACACCACGGTCTAATTCAGCATTTTTATTAACATAAAAAGTAGAGCAAGACCATGGTTATTTACTTGGACGAATGATTCGATTGTGTAATAAGTCATGAATTTCTTTTTTACATAGTTCAAGTAATTCATGATTCATTTGAATTGGTCGGGATTTAGTAGGAATATGTCGTTCATCAAAATTTTTAATATAAGGTAAAGTGACTACATGTTTTTTCTTATGCCAAAATGCAGTAGGCAAAGTAGAACAAACACTTGATTCAAGTTTTAATTGGAAATCAGTGATTTGAGATATAAGAACTGGATTCGTCAATTGTTGGTCAATGCGTTTATGATTAATTTCTTCTTTAAGAAAATTTAAATGCCGAGTTAGACGATTAATTTGATGGGAAATAGAACAGTTTTTTAATTGATTTAAGTGTAATAGTTCAGGAGGAGATAAGAATTTAAAGGTAACAGGTTGACCTAAAACATGGGTAGTTATTCCAGTACTAGATGTAGTAAATGGATATAATAGATATATAAATGGGGAACCTAAAATAATTTTATCAGTCATATTGGTAACTAGAACAAAAGAGGTTTTAAAACATACATTATCTTGGCAAACATGAACTTTGGGTAATTTATATTTGATATGCATGCGAGTACCATTAGCAGAAGTTAATTTCTCTTGACATTTTTCATAGTATTTAGTAGAGAGTAATCCTTCTTGTATACAATTTAGATCAGCACCAGTATCAATTAAAGCAATTAAGTCTAATTCAAAATCATTTATAATTATTTTAATTTTGGAATACCATTTTTGAATGTAAAGCTTATTAATTAAACTTAATCGTTTTTCTTCAGGATTGTTGGATTGAGAGTGGTGTGATCGGTTGTCGAATAACAAATTATCAGGATTAGTAGGATCAGAATCATGTTCAGATTCACTTGGAGATTCATGATTATTTTGGAAATTATCTAGACTTTTATTAAGTTTTAAAGTAATAATTTTGTCTTCCAATTTTTTTATCTTTATTTTGTAATTCTTTAATTGTTTGTTTGATGTGATTGATTTCTTGTTGTAAATCTTGTAATGTAACTTCTTTTTGTTTACTTTTAAATCTATCTAAGGTTTTAGACAAACTAATTATGGGTTTATCAAATTTAGGTTTATTATCGGAATGAATTAATAATGATTTTAATTTATCAATATATTTTTGTTTTAATTTGAGATCATCTAATTTACTAATTAATTCAATAAGAGCTGATTCTTCTTGAGTAGTTTTTGTAAGAACAGTAATTTGTTTAACTGGTTTACAACAAACATCATTACATCTGATGTTAATATTATTATCAGAATCATCACTGGGTGATTGGTAATTGGATGAAGTATCAGGATGATCAGAAGAAGAGGAACGACTAATAGATTGATTTAATTGAAAGATGTCATATAATTGGTTCTTGGATTTGTCATCAATTTGAAGTTCGTTAACTTTATCTTTTAATTTTTGTTTTTCTTTACATTTATTTGAGTAATGACCTTTTTGACCACAGTTATAACAAGTAATATCTTTAGTAGATTTAGATTTTGGATGTGATTTGGATTGATAATATTTCTTTTTAGGTTTAGTATAGAATTTATCATTTGATTTTGAGGGTGAATAATTCTTTTTATATGTATTAGAATATTTAGAAGATGATTTGTGTTTATGTTTGGAGTATCTATGTGATTTCCTACGAGAGGGTGCAACAGGAGGTAATCCATATTGTTCACAGAAATTGCCTAATTCATATTTGGCTTTATGTTTATCTTTATTAGCTTTTTGAGTAAGTTTGAGATCAATACACATTTTTAGTCCTTCTTTTTGAATAGTGCTAATTATATCTCCATATGTTAAATTATCATATTCAATAACACTAGTAGGTTGACTAAGAACATCTCGGATTTTGTGAGTAAATAAGCTAGGTAATCCATTAATAAATTTTTCTTTCCAGAATGATTTGGTACAGTCTTCTCTTAGCATAACACGAGAGGTAAATACATCTTTATACCATCTAAAATCACTTAGGGTTGGACAATTAAGATTACTGAGTTGATCATGGATACGGGAGTATATATTTGTAGGAGTACCAATAAAACGGCAGACTACAGTATAGATTAATTGGTTAATTCCATCAGGATGACAACATCCTAGAGTTTCATCAAAAATAGGTAGACCATTTTCATCAGTTTGATTAGCATATCTAATGGAGTCACGTTGTTCTTCAGTGAGGTATTTTTCCCACCAAGATTTGAGCATACTAGTAAACCCGGAGGTAAGTAAGGAAACAATTTCAGATTGAGAATATTGGGGATAATTACTGAGATAACTGTTTGCTACCATAGATAAGTGATTTAATTTTTGAAGGATTTGGTCTTCACTGAGACCATCAATATTCCATTCGTATAATTTTTTAGCAGAGACAGAAAATTGATTATTAAGATTAGTTTCTTCAAACTGGAGATCAGGTGGAGTAGGCCGAGAATACCAGTTTTTGGTAGTTTGAGGATTAACTTTGGGATAATGAATTTTATTAAGATTAGAAGATTGAAATTGTTTGGCTAATTGATCGATTTCATTATCAGTAGTATCAGTGTCAGATTGATTAGAA